TTTGAGGAACTTATGAAGTGGGCTTGAGGATTTGAAAAGAGTTTGAGGATTGAGGATAAGGGTAACCGAAAAACCCCATTTACAATCACAACTTATGAAGTGGGCTTGACTCTTGATGCTTGAGGATTCGAAAAACCCCATTATTTTGTTCGAAGCCACAATTCTCAGTCGATCATCTTCGAAGCCACAACTCACAGGCACAAGGGCTTGAGGATTTGAAGATGATGGAATTTTCGGATTTAAAAACCTTTTATGATTTTGGGATTTTCGGTGACAGGTGTTGGGATTTTCGGTAAAACCCTTTTGTGATTTTGGGATTTTCGATTCCAATAGGAGCAAAATACAGAAAATCATAGAAACGCAGGTATATTTTTATGCTAAAATACATCTTATAATAGAACTAAAACCTGTGTGATGAGAAGTGGATGTAACCAACGATCGACTTTTCAGGCAAAAGGGGAGACTGAGACATGGCATTGAATTTTGTCAAAGATAGCAGGCATATTCTTGGCTTATATAGAAATCTAATACCATGGAATGGACACAGTTTTGCCAACAAAGAAATGCTATGGTACTTCATGGCATTTCTCATGATGCTGATGGTGGTTATAGACAAGACCCGGTGCCCAGGGTTTTTATTTTTTTGTTGCAGTATGCATGAAATCATCTACTAAATTTGGGTAGTAATATGAATTGAAGTAATGAAAAAGGTTATACCCAAATAGTGCTTTGATTATAATTGTTATATTTTCTTTCTGTAAACTGTTCAGGCACAGCTGGACCTCCTTGACTTTGGAATCCAAGAGTGATAGACCAGGTAAAAAAAAATTGATCTTTCAAGTCTATCATTTGCTTTGAATGATATCAAACTCACAGATTGTTATGATTCAATAGACTTGAATAGAAACATTGAATGACACATGCAGTCAACTCTAGAAGAACTAAAAATTATGGATGAAAAAAACTAATAAAGTATACATCTATTAACTATTTAACTCTCTTTGATTGCACTAATCCAAAAAAAAATTTTAACATCCCACATGAATAAAAGAAGAAAAAAAACATCAACAAAAAAATATTTCTGTAGACAACTTTTGTGTTTCTCAACCAACCCCACTCTTAGTGGAAAAGAAAAATCTAGAATCTTACGCAACTAATTCTACATATTTGATTAGTTAAAATCTATGTTACCCATGGTATGACATATATGACATATTTGATTAGTTAATTCTACATATTTAATGTAGACGTGTATTTTTCTTTCGTTAATCATACAAATGAGGATTCGATATTCCAAGATGTTCATTTGGCTTAGACCACATAAATCACAAGATTTGTCAATTCTCTACAATTTGCTTGGCCTAAGTTTGAAACTATTTGTCTATGACAGTGAATGACTTCTTGATGTATGTTACATGATGTCATTGCTTTCTTTGAGGTTTATTGTTTGCTTTGGTTTCTACTTAGTTGATTTTTGCATATAGTTGATGAAGTAGGAATGGAAGGAGAAGAAGTGAGAAATAATATGTCAACTCCTCAAACTTCTGCAACACCGGGTGAAAACAACCAACTTTCAATCTCTATTGATGAAAATCAATCTACCAACTCAACTCCAATGACCCTTGGTGAAACAGATAGGCATAGATCAATTGTGTAGAATCATTTCAAGAGAAAAACAATTGATGAGAAGTTAAAGGCTGAGTACAATGAATGTAAGAAATTGATTGTTGGTGGTGCTAAGAATGAAACTACCCACTTGCATGACCATCTTAAAAGTTGTCCGAGGAAGAAATATAAAAATTTCAAACAATGTTTATTGGTACCAAACCAATTGAAAGAGGATACTGAGAAAACAATGGAGAACTGGAGATTTGTTCAAGAGGCGGGGAGGAGGAATCTTGCCAATATGATTATATTGCATGAATATTCTCTTAGTATGGTTGAGCATCACGGATTTCAAAAATATTGTCACACTCTTCAACCAATGTTCAAAATGATATCCCAGAACACTCTTAGAAATGATATCCTTTAAATTTACAAAACCAAAAAAGAGAAGACAATGAAGTTGTTGGAAAAGATAAAAAGTAGAGTTGCTATTACTACGGACATGTGGTCCTCAAACAATCAAAGAAAGGGCTACATGGCAATCACTACACACTTTATTGACAATTCTTGGACATTGCAAAGTCAGATTATAAGGTACTAATGATCTTTTATTAGCATATGTTATTTATTATAAGGTACTAATGATCTTCTATTAACATGTGTTATTTATTATCTTTAAATTTTTATATGTGCCTTATCCACATATCAAGGAAGTGCTTGTGGAGTGTTTGATGGATTGTTTTTTCGATTGAAACCTTGATAGAAAGTTGATCACTTTGACTGTGGATAATTGTACCACTAATGATGCGATTGTGACTATTTTGTTGGATAAACTTCCATTTGGTTCACTAATATTACATGGTTGGTTATTCCATATGCGTTGTTGTGCACATATTCTCAACTTAATTGTCCAAGATGGTTTGAATGTGATTGGAGATGGTATTAAAAGAATTCGTGATAGTGTTGCTTATTGGACAATATCTCCTAAGAGAGTGCAAAAATTTGAAGAGGCAGCTCATCAGATACATATTCCAAGTAACAAGAAACTTGCTCTTGATGTTAAGACTCGATGGAACTCTATTTTTCTCATGCTTCAAACTAGTTTGATTTATAAAGATGTGTTTGCTCGCTTGAAATATCGAGATTTTCATTACAAGATTTGTCCGACTGAAGATGATTGGGAGGTGGCAAGAGAGATTTGTGAAAAATTAGAATTGTTTCTTACTGCAACAAAATTGTTTTCAGGTACAAAGTATCCTACTGTCAATGTATACTTTCCAACTATTTATGGGATAAGAGTAGAAATATCTAAGTAGCTTCAAAGTCCCAAAGATGTGATAAAAGATATGGCCTTGAATATGTTGGAAAAGTTTAACAAATATTGGAGTGTAATTCATGGTGTTATGGGAATAGCAACTGTTTTAGATCCACGGTATAAGTTGAGAATTTTAGAATATTACTTTGAGAAAATGTATCGAGGTGTGGAAGCTTTAAATGAAGTGAAGAGGATTAAAGAGCTTTGCTTGGAATTGGTAGGCGAATATGAAACGAGACAAGGAAATGATTATGAACCACATCCTTCTCCTCCCCCTCTTCAATCAGATATTGATTCTAAATGCCCATTAATTGATTATCTCTCTGATTTTGATAAGTTTATATAAACAAGAGATACAACAAAAGCACGTGGGAGATCGGAGTTGGATCGTTACTTAGAAGATGGTATGATGCCAAGAAGTTTAGATTTTGATATACTATCTTTTTGGAAGACAAGTGGTCCCAAGTATCCTCTGTTTCAAATGATTGCTAAAGATCTTTTTGCTATTCCTGTTTCTACCGTTGCCTCGGAATCTGCTTTTAGCACAAGTGAGAGGGTGATCAGTCCACATCGCAATAGACTTCTTCCAACTACAATAGAGGCTTTAATGTGCTCTCAAAGTTGGTTATGTGCTGAAGAACGAGGTAATTAAATATTATTTGTATGTGCATCATAATTTTTTTTTTGGGTGGGTAAAATATGACTAATACCTTTTTTTTTTTTTTGTTAGGTTTATCTACTTCGGCGGGCCTAAAGAGCTACACATTATTAGAGGATCTTGATATTGATGATGAGGTATATCGTTTTAGTTGAAAATTTCTCTCTGGATACCGAGAAAATTTCTCTTTGGAAGAATCTAATTTTTTTTTTCTTTTAATGATATAGGAAAATGATATTGAAGAGGTAGATTCTACCACCACCGAGGGTGTTAATTGATGGTTGAGTTGGTGTGAAGTTGGTGTTAAGAGATGTTGAGTTGATTAAGATGATTCTACCATCCGTTATGTTATTTGTGTTATGTTGTGTAATATTAAATTATATCAAATTTAATTAGTATTTTGGACATTTGTGATTTTTGTTATGTTCAAATATAGTATGCTACATTATGTTGTGTTAGATTATTTAGAATGTTATTGGATTATTTAAAATTTTGGATTTATTTAAAATTTTGGATTATGTTGACTTGAACTTGAGCTTAGGTTTAGGCTTGGGTTTGGGCTTATGCTTGAGCTTGAGTGGGTACGGGAAAAGCGGGGACGGGGACGGGGACGGGGACGAAAATTATAAATTTACCCGCGGACGGGGATGGGGATGAAAATTATACCCGTTAGCGGGGATGAACCGGGGATGGACGAAAATTTTTTAAGCGGGTACGGGGATGAAGACTACACCCCCCCGCCCCCGCTTCGTTCCATTGACATCCCTAGCCTGCAGTCTGGGCGTGCTTTTTACAACACTAGTACAACTAATTTAAACGATGTTATAATTACAGAAACACCGACGTTTTCTCCTTTGGGGGAGAGTGATCCAGATAATTTTCTGTAAAAGGCCAGGCCTTAAGAAAAACAACAATGAAATAAATTAATGAATCCTTGAGGAACTACAGCCCATCCCATTGCAATTGATATGGTGAAAGTGATTGCAAACATGACTATTACACTCAGCTAGAGATCCAAATGCAAACACCAAAGCTAGCACTCTCTCAACACCAATATTTTAGCAGGCAAACAAAGGATTCTTGAGAATGGCGAATACGAGGAAAGTATATATGCAACCATTTAAATCTTTGAACAAGGTATTCTAAGAAGAGGATATGAAAATTAGACCAACTTGTCTGGCAAAAATTACAAGTCTACAAGGTATAATGAAGATTGTGAAATTGAAACCTAGATGGGTTGTTGATATAATGGACTCTTCCTATGAGAATGTAATTGCATACATGAGGCTCAATGAGAATACACTAATCCAATTGTCATCAACAAGCTTGGAATGCAGGTGTTACCTCTAGTGTTTGGTTTCTGAAATGAATGCCAAATCCTAACTTCTATCTTCGAACTTGATACTATGCATTATGTTTCTCTTATGTGCTAAGTATGAAGGTTCTGATTTCAAGTAATATAACGCCATAAATCCACAAATGTTTAGAATCGGTGGCCTTCTCCAATTCTGGTGAATGAGACACTTAAGCATAGATCAATAGCTCAATTTGAGACACTTTAACCTTTTATCTCTTGTTCACTTTCCATTCAAGTTGCAACTTGCAGGAACTTGAAAAGACCCTACATTACCATTCCTCACAAATAGATAGACGATCCACTTAGTTGAATATGACGAAACATCAAAATGGAATCCGATAAGCAACATAGTAACTAAGCTTAAAACAATAGTACTCATGTCCATCTCAGTGAGTGTGTGTGAGTGTTTAGAATATCTAAAATATATGTCCCAAATCATTAAAAACCGAATGGTTTTATCGTTTCTTTCCTTTTTCGAATAACCGAACAGAGAATAAAATTCAAAACCCAGAGAAGGATTTAAATCTAATCCCGATTAAAATCAAAACCATCAATTTCTTCAATTTCCCTTCAGTTCGCCGACAACCAATCAAGGGCATAAATTTCCCAAACACCATAAACAATTCAATCCCACACCCACATAAACACAATAAAAATTCAAACAATGCACGCACGCACACACAAACACACAGAGAGAGGTTAGATAGGGAATTACCAGATGGGACGGTGGACACCTCGCCGTAGATGGCTTTGAGTTTGGAGAGAGGGACGAGAGAATTCTCGGCAGAGGCTTCAGCAAAGAGCTGTTGTTTCCAATCCCACATGGTCTTCTTCATGGCCTTGTTGGCTGTGACCAGCGAGTCCTTCTCGGCCTCGAGTGCCTCCATGTTATTTTGCTGGTTCACCGATCTTATGCTCAGTGCCACGAACGAGCCCACCAGGAACACGTTAATCATTGTGTTTTTGCTCGCTGCTCTTGAAGCAAAACCCATCACTTTGCTTGCCCACTCCATTTTTGTTAGATTCGAATCTTCGGCCGAGAAATTTTTGTCGAATTCGATGGGAGGGTTAGAGTTAGATTATAGCTAGTACTGTCTTCGTCTTTCGTGTTGCCAAGAATAGGTCAAGTCTGAGAAAAAAACAAGACTGCTTTCTCTCTTCCTCCTCTTTTTTTTTTTTTTTTTTTTTTTTTTTTTTTTTTTTTGAGAATCTCACTTTGCAACCTAAAAATTTAAGATTTTTCATTTTATACTTTTAAAAATTAAATTATTTACATTGTATTTTTAATGTATTAAAAGTATTACAATCTATTTCTTTCGCTAATTTTTGCTTTTTATTTCATTAAAAACTATTTCATTTATACTAATAGAATAAGTAACAAAAATTAACAAAAATGACTTATTGTAACACTTTTAATACATTGAAAGTTCAATGTTAGAAATCTAAATTTTGAGAGTATAAAGTTAAAATTTTTTAAATTTTTTAGAGTATAAAGTATAATTTACTCTTTTTTTTTGGTTAAACCAAAGATAAAGTTCACTTAAAATGTAATAACAGGACCAACAAATGTAAACTAGGGGATTATCATATGGTGTAATCCCTCAATAAATAAATAAGTGGGGGTGATTACTATAATTCTTTAAAAGATTAGGTCCACTAAACGTTGCACAATCCCTGTTGCCTCAACGTCAATAAATAAATAAGTGGGGGCGATTACTATAATTATTTTAAAGATTGGGTCCAGTAAACGTTGCACAATCCCTATTGCCTCATCGTCAACAATGAATGAACGTGATAACGGATCGAGCCAAGAAGGAGCTAGGGGGTCCCATGCCCAGATGCCCTCACTGAAATATTTTTAAGAAATTGGAAGTCCGTCCTATTGCCCCCATCTGTTTTTGACAGTGTTTTAAAACCCGGCCCGGTTCAACGTGTCAACCCGAAAAACCGCCCTGAGTCGGGCGAATTTCTTAATTGAATCGGTCCAACAAATGATCCACTTAAGAACCGTTCAAACCGGTCTAAACCAGCCATTTTTCAAAACCGGTCTAAACCTGCCATTTTTCAAAACCGGTCTAAACCTGCCATTTTTCATGAACCCGTGACTACCGGTCCAATTTCCATAAATTCAATAAACCCATTTTTATATTAAAACTAATACACAAAATATTAACAACGAAGTTCAACGCTCAAGCTACAAGGCTCAGGCCTATAATATTCGAACTACAGGTCAAAGAATAAAATGTCAAGCCAGCAAGTTTTGACCGTTAGTTGACTAGAAAATTAATAGAAGTGCAGCATTTTATAGGCATACAGTGCTCATAACTCCCACATGAGTTTCCGATGTGGGATAGATACTCCACTTAATCTCTCATTATTTTTTTTATCAATTTTTCTTTTAATTTTTTAGGCATCATATTATTACTATTTATACTAAATATTCAAAATTTCTTAGTGAATTGTTTTATGCTCTGTCAAATTATATCAATTATGTAAGCAAATTAATGATTTAAAGATATTTTTTTTTTTATTTCATTTACTATAACATAAAATATGTTATTTTTGTAACTATTATAATTTTTTAGCATATTTATTATTATTATTTTTTATTAATTATATGACCGGTTCGACTGATTGACCCACGGTTGGACCAGTAACCCATTGACCTAGTCCCCTTGCCGGGTTGGTGTCCGGGCCAGGTTTAAAAACTATGGTTTTTGGCAATGGCGGGATTATTCTCGCTCTCACAAATTTCTATTCTCACTCTCATAAATTTTTATTTTTATATTATTTAATTTTTTATTATCAAACTACTAAACTCATTCTTTCTATACTTACTCCAATTAGTAATTAAATCTACCGCATGCTACATACATGCCTAAACTCACTTTATATTTTATCATAATTATGTTTTATTCTCTATCTCACTTGATGCACGCCGAAAAACACTTTTTTAATATAAATTTTTTTAGTGAGATACAAGCTAATATTACTTTTTAATTTAATTTTATGTTTAATTTCAAGTTTATAGATTTTTATTATTTTCAATGTTTTGATATCTGTGTGTGTATATATATGTATGCTTTCAAATTATTTGTTCTTTTTTTTTTTTATCGTATTTAGGTTTTGCATCTATGCTTGTTTGTTTTTTTGTTCGTTTTTGTGTGTGTACTTGATGCTTGTTTTTTTTTTCATATTCGATTTTGTGTCTTGTGATTTTACGTCTTGTAGTTTTGTTTGTTTCTTTAATTTTTGATTGATTTTTTTTCCTTCTTGTTTCGATTTACTTCTTTTTTTTTTCCTTGTTTCATTCTTTTCTTTTTAAAGGGAGTGTATGTAGCATAAAGTAGAATTAATTACTAATGGGGTGACTATAGAAGATGTAGACTTAGTAGTTTGATAATGAGAAATTAAATAGGGTGGGAATGGAGATTTGTGGAGTGAAAATAGCCCTACTCTTTGGCAATAAAGATATGGAAAGAATTTGGTATGCGTGTAAGGACATTTGCTAGAGTCTTCTTGGTATTAGGCTCACGTACTTTTTTTTAATTGACATTTTTATCATTCAGCTCATTAGCGTTTAATTAGGAGCTCATACCGATATTGTTCAATTGGTATTTGTTTAAATTTCAAGTTCTGTTAAATCAGAAAATGTTTTATATATTGGACCTCTTTAACTCAACGTAGCTGTATCAGTGAAGTTCTTCGTCTTGTTTGTAGCTCCATCAACTTAGTCATTCATTAAAATTCGTAGCTTGTATAGAGGTGCTCTATTTTTTCAATAGTTTGCTATTGTTATTCATCAAAAATTTTCATCAAATTTGGTTTGAATTATATATAATGGTATGATGAATGAATGTGTTTTTGCTTAATGTTCCTCAAAATTGCCTTGAATTAGTATTTGGATAACTGTATATTGTTTGAAGAAATATACTTTGTTTTCATTGTGGTCACCCAACCGTTTTTGTTACTTTCCTTGTTTGCCATAATTGTGGTTTCATTTTTCGAATTTAGCATATGTTTTTTGATTTCATCTAAATATATATGGTTAGGAATTTGTTTGGTTCAGTTTTTCGTTTGTTTCAATTTTTAGTTCAATTGTTAAATTACTAGTAATTGTCTGTTCCTGAAAACACTAAGTAACAAAAAAAAAGTCAAAATTAAAAGACATACAAATTAGAAGATTGCTACAAAAATAATATATGAAGCATATTAGTGTGAATAACAAATATATTTGATCCGACCACCTATTCCACAAACAAAAATTACATAGTAGACGTTAAGGGGAAGAGGGCGGGGGTAGTGGTGTATTAGGCATTTCAACAAACACCAAATGTGCAAGATTGGCATGTGGCTAGTAGTCGTTAGGGGGGAAGAAGGTGGGGTGGTGGCTATGTTTTGGTAGTTTTGGTTACTGGCTCGGGGGTGAATTTTTCCATTCTATAAAATCATACAAATATTTGGTATTATTATTATTTTTTATTGGTGATTAACTTAGATTTGAATGTCTACAACTTGGAAAAAAAATTTAGATTGGTTTTGAATATTTTTTTTTGGTGCAATTGGTTTCACTTTTTTTTTATTGGTCATTGTTATTTTATTTGGTTTTGAATTATTTTTTTTTTGTTTTTTATGGTGCAATTGGTATCACTTGTTAGTTTTTTATTGACAATTAGCTTGGCTTTAAATATCTACAACCTGAAATTTTTTTTTTTTAACATTTAAATATTTTCTCATCTATAAAATCATACAAATGTTTGAGTAAAGAAGTACCAAAAATAACAATAGCACATTTAACATAAAACATATAACAATAATAAAATCATATCAAAGCTGCAAACCTTGAGTAAATAAGCACTGAAAATAACAATACACGATTATCACATAACATTTAACAATAATAAAATTGTGTCAAGGCATTCACAACTAAACCAACAAAAATATTAATTAAAAATAAAAAATATTTAATGACAGCAATATGAATTAAAAAGAATAAATTTTTTACTACTTACTCGATCGAGGAGAAAATTCTTCAAGTATAAGGTAGAGAGAGAATTATACGAGAGATGAGAGAGTGCATGTTTAAAACATGTGAGAGATGAGATAAAGAAAGTTGTAAAAGGAATGAAAGTCCAATTAGGATCATATAGATATAAATAGGATGACATATGTTAATGAACCTATAGTTTGTTTGAGATAATTCTTGCTATTAGAGTTTTAATGGGTATTAGATATATTTTGTTATTATTAGATATATATAGCCGTCCAAGAGAGAGTTATATGAGAGATAGGAGAGTGTGGGAGAGGGAGAGAGTTGAAAAATGAATGAAAGTCTAATTAGCATCATATATATATAGGATGATAAATGTTAATGAACCTATATTTTGTTAGATATAATCTTTATTATTAGAGTTTTAATGGGTGTTAGATGTATTTTGTTATTATTATATATATATGACGTGTGAGAGATAGGAGAGACAGAAAGAGAGAGAGAGAGAGAGAGAGAGAATGAGAGATGGGAGACTTAGAGTTTTAAAAGGAAAGAAAGTCTAATTAGGATCATTGAATCAATAATTTTCAAATGATCTAAGTCGTGAAAAGCTCAAGACAAACAATATAGAGAGAGTATGAGATAGAGAGAGTTATGCGAGAGACAAGAGACTTAGAGCTATAAAAGGAATGAAAAGTCCAATTAGGATTGTCGGATCAATAATTCTCAAACAATCCGAGCCGTAAAAAGTTCAAGACAAACAATCTAACTCCCTTATTATATAGATGTTTTGGGAATTATAATGGGATTTTTATTTTTTATGACCTGTCACTGTGACTTGTTCATGAAAAACTAGTGTTGTAATTGATTTTCATGTTGNACAGATGTTTTGGGAATTAGAATGAGATTTTTATTTTTTATGACCTGTCACTGTGACTTGTTCATGAAAACTAGTGTTGTAATTGATTTTCATGTTGTTAATAGTAATGTAAATAGGTTGTGTTGTGTTGTGGTGTTAGTTATGTTATTGTGTATTTATTTGTTGTTCTATGAACTGTCACTGTGATATTTTTCAACACAAAACATATTAAACTCAACATAAATAAGTGTTTACAGTGTATAAATCCTAG